TCTTTCCCCATGTAAAGTTTTTCCCTTAGCGGAAACCGAGTTTACTCGTGAGGGTATAATTAGTTGCACGATAATCGTATCGTCTGTGATATTCGTGATCCCCCGTGTAACGGTCCACGGGGAGCGTTCGAACATCACAGAAATTTCACAGGTCAGTTATTTTTACGATAAAGTTACAAGAATGGGGCTTTATGAAGCGCGCCTGTCGGCGCTTATCTAGCGATCGGTCGCTCACGCGGAACATCCTGTAGAAATGGAACACGGTGATACGATAGAAAAAATTTGAAATATTTCTGGTCTCTGTTTGCGAGTATAAATCTGATACGAGAGGATATGGTATATTTCTGTTTTAACAAGTTACAGAGACAGATAACTTCTTTTGGTTTATTCTAGAGAGCGATATAAAATGGAAAAGGCAATTCTGTTATCGTTTCCACGAAGAAAAATTATACGATATTTATATTCTATACGATATACAGTGTTGTATAAATTGGGGCAAAGGATTTTCTTGGAATACATTCTACCGAATATTTCTATTATTCCCTTGCAGTATTGTAGCAATTAATATATTGAAATTAGTATTGTTAATTGAAGTGTAATCAGTGGGATCTGAATGGCCCCTTCCGCCACCGTGTGTTTGCAAATGGAAAACATTATTAAAAAGCCGTTTCACGTTTAGGCTTATTATTGATCTCTACGTTTATAAAAATTTCATTCGTGATCAATTAATAACGATAGAAAAGTTAGCTGTAATTAGTAGACTGCGGATATTTATGTATTGTATATTAAAATAAAAACTTTAATAAAACCCAGTGATATTTATATATTAAAAAAAAAATGTCTATCTCATTTATATGTTAAAAAATGAATGTATAAAATTGTGATTTACCATAAACATCTGAAGCCTAGTAATAGAACTTCGTATGAAAACAACCAATATTGTTTCCATAATTAAAAGTTGAACCTATTAACACCACATAAAATATCCAAACGCATAATAAAAGGATATTCCATAATTACACAAGAATCCGCAAGAAAATCTCAGCTGCTCCAAATTTCGATATTCGCCCGGATCGCGAGTCTCGAAAGTGTGTATGCACAGTTCGGGTTAGTGGAGCGTGGCGAGGAAACTCCAATCTTTCTAATTACTTTAGCTCCGGGTATATACCCCGAACGCCTAAATAACATCTTATCCGCCGTAGAAAATTGAACTGGTCGGCCGCTGCATTAAATCCGAACCCAATTTTCCTCTCCATCAATGGGAAACGAATTTCGCGTGCGGCTCGATCGAGGAACCTCCAGCCTTCTCGGATCGCAAATTACGATCGGTAATACCATCGACTACGCCTCGATCCATCGAAGGCATTTCTGCGATCGTGCCGATCGTTTAACTATCACACGCCGCGTGTTAAAAATAATCACGACTCTCTATCTTTCTACACGAGTAGTTGGACGCGTTGTACCGGAACCGCTTTCGAAAAGGATCGATCGATCCCTCTCTGCGGGCGGACCCTACCCTACCCGACTCTTTCGGTCTCTCCCGGAAGGGAGTCCGCCGCCGGAAACGGGACCGGTCTACCCTTATACGCGAAGGCAACGTCGCAGGAACACGGGGGCCGGTGCAACGGAAAAGTGAGAGTGCACACACGACTACCTTGAGCCTGTTTCCGACGTCCAGTGGGCGTAGAAATTTATTTTCTATATATGGCGGACAATCGGTTCGTTATTCCTTGCGGATCCGAGTGTACGTTGCGGCACGTGCACAACGTTGTTATTACAATCACCGCCAGAGGAATTGTTGCTTCTCCCGTGATTTATGGCGATCCACCGGGGGCTCTGACACGGTGGGAACATTGCTAGATTTTTGGTATCATCGGTGGGTAATGGTGATTCGTGCACTGAAATGATTTTTGATTCGTATTGAAATGATTCAATGATTCGAACATCATTGAAGTTTCAGAAAGCTGGAGAAAATTGTATCGTAAGGTAGACAGATGAATACCACATTCGATATTCATTACATATTTTTTTTTTATATTTTCTTGGGGAATTAACACGATACAGGAAATCTTTGTTGAGTGTTCGAATGCTCTTTGACAAGAAGTCTCTAGGTGAAATGCTGACTTTTTAATATAGTTTAGCAGCGTGATAGAGTTTGGAATTCTGAAGCCAATGATATTTGTTGCAGTTGCATGTGGCCATTAGTTTATGAATCATCGAGAGAACACTCATCGAGGTTTTACTGTACATTCGGAATAACTACAAGGTAGGAAAAATATGCGGATCGGTAAGCTTCATTGCACGCCTGTCGAACGTAAGAACGTTTGTAAAAAGACGCGATTAACTCATTCGCGTTGTATAACGACCGATACTCGCATGAACTTAAGGCGTAGAAATCATATGACGAGCTCAGCTTGCAACGCTGCATTGCTCGATATAAATGCGTATAGTTCACCGCACATTCCCTTTACAGAGAAGAAAAAGAACGTAACTAAAAGGTGTGTTGTGTGCTACAGTAGGGGTGAAAGGAGTGAAAGTTGTTAGCAGTGCAAAAAGCATGATGTTGCTCTTCATTTAGAAAAGTGCTTTCAGATCTACCACAATCAACAATTATACTAAGACAACAATCGTACCAAGGCTATTTAAATACGATTCCTCGGTCATCTCTGAAGGTACCTAAATATAACGCGAATCGGTTATATCAAAAAATTGCACAATCGTAACGTTAAACGTACAAAATGAGATTACGCGAAGATAAAACCGAACACCTCAAACTCCTCTAAATTGGAGGACCTGGAACCAGATACTTCTACCGAAACGTAAAATACCGGTTGTACCTTCGTCCTATGTAACCCTATACAAGCCCTACCCTAATAGAAACCAACAAAATACCAGTATTTATTTCGATTTTCGGTAATATATCGGTTTCGATATAGCTTTAATGGATAATATCGGTATCAAAATCATACCGATTTAAGTCCCTGCCTGGTACCCAAGTAAGAAAGACACCAACATACCTTAAAAGCTTCCCCTATCCAGCTTCATCACCCCAAGTTTCTCCAGATCTCCACGATCATCAACCAGAACCAGTCTCCACACTTCCTAGTCCAAGTCCAGCGTATAGTGTCGAGGCCACAGAGACTTCGCCGCGAAAGGAGGTCGCCGGTAGCTCGGCTGGTTACCCGAATACGGATCCTCGTAGCGCGCTTTCCAACTAGCGGCTGGTTCCACTCGAGTAACACCCGACGCTCGAGACTGACTCTCTCCTGTCTGTTTCCTTGTTCCAGTTGACGCGAAATGCATCGGAGGGTGGGATACAGCAACTACGATGGCAAGATCGCGGGCCTGTACGATCTGGAGGAGACCCTAGGCCGCGGTCACTTCGCCGTCGTGAAGCTGGCGCGGCATGTTTTCACCGGCGAGAAGGTCGCAGTGAAGGTCATCGACAAAAGCAAGCTCGACGAGGTCTCGAGGGCGCACCTCTTCCAGGAGGTGAGAGACAGAGAAAAGCCATAGATGTTCTTTCACATTCGGACACCAGACGGTGGTCAGTTTTGTCGATACGGGCTGACTTCTTTGTTCCTGCTAACACCCTGTATTGGGTGTCGCGTGAATGTGAACGTCGAGCACAAAGGAGGCCGAGAAGGAAATCGAAACGCATGCTAATTCCTTCCTTCCTCTACCTTCTGTTTTTGCTGACTGGCACGCCTCGATGCACCGCGGCCTCGACGAGGTTTTATTATTTTATACGCCACTTCGGGGTATCACAACAGTTCCATTTGTACGCGAACGGATGTCGTTTTGTAACCCTGGTAATAAGGGGAAGAGAACGGTTAACTCGTCGGTCGTTTCGATCTTCATGCGTCAGTGACTTTTCGTTTTTTTTGTTTATGCAACGATTTGGGTATTCAACTGTATCGTAATGGTTCGAACAGTGGGAGCTAGATTCTAGTCGCGGTTAAAGTAACTGAATGTTTGTCAGGTTTATAAACCTTGCACGGGGTTGAGATCCTATTTTTAACCGTGTCTGCTGGTGTGATTCCATTTGGAATCAGTAACTTAGTACTTAGTGCTTATAATTCACGCAGTCAGTCTAAAAATTTCATGTGGTATAATTAATAATTCAGGGCAGGAAGGGTTATTTTCGAAGCTTATCGGAATTTCTTATTAAAGTTTTGTGATGAGTCGAAATAGGTGAAGTTTCTCTGGAATGTGAGGATAACATTCAGTTCGATGCTTGCACACAGCTGGGAACAGATATATATACTCCTATCGACTGGGAATTAATTTGTACGGGATTTATTGGACTCCAGAACATATTGGTCTGAACAATGGCTCTTCTGGACTGTAACGAATGAAATCGTCGCTCGTAGGTAGCATTGTTCGCCCAGATGACAAAGTTGCTTGCCCACGATCTGTTTTATTGGGTCAACCTTTTAATATTCAACTTCCATCCTTTCGGCAAACTCCTTTTTCATTTAAGGGGACTTCGATGCAGTATCTCTGGAATATTATAACTCAGAATTTTATTCATACATTTCTCCCAATATTTCAACATATCCATAAACATGGAAGAATAAATAATGGATCAAACGAAAACAAATTACTTGCTTTTTCTGTACCCATAAACTTGTAGCTCTACGATTTAGAAATTGCCTCGATATAAATCGTTTTTGTTTTAATACAAAGATACAAATACGTATCGCTGTTCAGCGATACTAGTCGGTGATACGAAATTGTCAATTGACCGATATCCGAACACGTTCGCTAGGAGAGTCCGATAGCTTGAAAGGCTTCCTACGAGCGTGATTTCCATCATTCCGAAGCACACGGCGCAGTCTTAATGGCCGATTGCATAAGATCCGTTCGACGCCATCGCGTAGGAAAGATCTACGGTACGATCCCGCTTCGAACCTTGTAGATCTCCTTAAGGTCAACGAGATAATAGCGCGGAAGGGGTGGGAGGGGCGAGAGGAGGAGGAGAAAGGGTCGTTGACCAGTTCGTAGTAACCGTGTACACGGTTCCCTGTCCCATCGTCTTTGTTTTTCCGTTCAGGTGAGATGCATGAAGCTGGTGCAACACCCGAACGTGGTCAGGCTTTACGAGGTGATAGACACCCAGACGAAGCTTTACCTGATCCTGGAGCTCGGCGATGGCGGTGATTTATACGATTACATCATGCGACACGACAGCGGGCTCAGCGAGGAGGTAACGTCAGACCGTCTACAAACTTTCAGTGTGTAAATAAAAGTTCTGTTCGAACGGAGTTGCGATGAATCGATGAAAAAGTATTAGTTGTACAACTATTCTTTTAAAGAGAAGTGAAAGAGAAAGTGTTCTGCTTCGTGAAGATTTCCAGGTCATCTTAACGTTTTATGAGGTTCAAACTTGGATTTCACTTAGTACTTATCAAAATTCGCATATATGTATATAAGGATTTTCAAAATCAACCTGAAAGGACTTCCATATTCACTGAATAATCCTAGTGGGTAGCTCGCGCGATTCTTTGTCCTACATGGAGACTGAGGAAACCTTGAGACGAGGAACCCCTTTGCCCGGCGGGTACACTGATACGCTTTTAATCGACCGCAGGTGGCCAGGACCTATTTCCGGCAAATAGTCAGAGCCATATCGTATTGCCATCGATTACACGTGGTGCATAGGGACCTGAAACCCGAGAACGTGGTGTTCTTCGAGAAACTGGGCACCGTGAAGCTCACCGACTTCGGGTTTAGCAATAGATTCTGCCCCGGCCAGAAGCTCGAGACTTCTTGCGGTTCCTTGGCGTATTCCGCCCCGGAAATATTGCTCGGCGATAGCTACGATGCTCCAGCTGTCGGTAAGTTTTACCCCAGAAAAAAACCAAACCCCTATCTCGATTCAATTTTGCGGACTACGAATGTTATTATTTAATATTTCATAATTTGTCAGTCCTGTGAATGTTGTTTTTACATTCGCTTTTAGATGTCTGGTCCTTGGGGGTAATTTTGTACATGTTAGTATGCGGCCAAGCTCCCTTCCAAGAGGCGAACGACAGCGAGACCCTCACGATGATTATGGACTGCAAGTATTCGATACCGCCGCACGTTTCGGACGGTTGTAAACGACTAATCGCGAAGATGCTGGTCCGAAAGCCGGAGGGCAGAGCGACTCTCGAGGAGATAGCCGTGGATCCTTGGCTGGCGATCGGGCCCGACTCGGATCCCGTGGAGGCGTTACCTATGGTGTCCAGACAGCAGGTCTCTGATGACCATCATAATCATATAATCACCAAAATGGTCAATGGTAACATTGCCACCAAAGAAGAAATATTAGAGTAAGTGGTACCGACTTCGGAATAATATCACCTTATCGTAAAATGTCAGGGATTTGTCTCCGTTGAAAGATGTCTTGTTGAAATTACTATATCCGACGACCCAGTATATGTTCCACGAATCAGTACCGGCGTGTAAGTAACAGAACCGTTCGATCTGCTCGTAGCGCCCTTGACAAGAATGAGTACAATCACATAACGGCAACGTATTTCTTGCTAGCCGAAAGGAAACTGCGGGCCCATCGTCAAGAGCAGGTGCAAAAGTCCCGTCCGGAGATCCTCGACGTCACGGCAAAGTACGCACTGCGATACTTCATTAGCTTGTAACGAATCGTACGATTGCCGCGAGACACCGTATCCTAAGATCTGTCGGTTGTGTTTTCAGCCGGCAAGACAACCCATCGACGAATCTATTGCGGGTCGAGCAGAATTCATTGAGCACGGTGAACCAGTCGTTGCTGAGCGTGCCCCGGACGCCAGGCGAGGTGCCGCAGGTAAGTGTCCGCGTGACAGTAAGTCGCCTGGTTGGCTGGCGACCAAACGTAACGATGGCAGACGTAGAACTCTGCCGCGAAGTGTTCCTCCCGCGGGAAAAAAGACGGCTGTTTTCGTTCCAGAACGTGCGCACCAGGAAGTGCAGCATCGTCCAGGAGGAGGAGGACGAGGACGACGTGTCTTCGTGTTCGGGTCGCGACGATCGGGGCAGCAACTCCGCGCTGAACTCCTTCAATCGGCGCGGCTCGCGGTCCGAGGGCAAGCTATCGCACATACTTCAGGACCGGCTGGCGCAGCTTCCAGAGAAGCCGAGTCTCAAGCCGCAACGGAACGCGCAGAAGGACGTCAACGTCGTTCCCGTGATCACTGACGCGGAGGAGAGGCTGAAGTCTAGTCCGAACAGCGGCGGGATTGGCAATGAATTTCCGTCGTCTGTAAATCAGAACACGCTGGGTAGGCCGCAACAACCGGGTAATCCGCTCGAGAAAGTGGCCGCGTCAACGAAGCTCGATTGTACGTATCAGGAGAACCTGAAGAATCGGCTGGCGGACACGCCAGGATGGGCGAGGAAGCAGACCACCACGGAGAGCAGACCGAAGTCGGTGACGGAATGTATGAAATCGGTGGGACCTGTGCCGGCGAACAAGTGGAGGATGGGTGCGCAGCATCGACCAGCTGGATCGTCCTTGGAATCCGCTTTGCCGGTGGGTATACCGAGACCGTCCGACCCTAGCACGACCGACATCACCACAAGTATCTTAACCGAGGCCTCCACGGTGTCTATTCCGCTTCATCCGGTGGGTCTAGGCGATAATCAGTTACCATTGACGCCTAAGTACAAGACCATGCCGTCCCCAGGCAGCACGGGGCCAGTGTTAGGGACGGAGCTGACCTTGAACGAGATCCTGGAGGACGTGGACACGGTTGTGGTGCCGACGCCGGAGAGTGGCAGTTCGAAATGCCGAGTTGTTAGAAGGACAGGATACGATCAGAAAAGGAGCAAGTTCCATAAGGCGCGAACCACTTCTTGCTCGAGCTCGGACGCCAGTGACGACGACAGCGAGAGCAGGAAAAAGAGAGCGCACAAGTTGGGCGCCTCCGCGAAACCTTTGCCCTCTAGACGCGACAGTCACGATGACTCTAGCGATTCGCAGGATCCTGGAGGGAGCGGTGGCGGCGGCGGCGGGGGCGGAGGGGGTGTAGGTAACGGGGAGCACGTCACCGAAACACCTACGAACGAAACGAATCAAAACGATAATGGGAACGGTACCAATACGACGAGCACGACTACCACGACGACGACGGGTGGAAGGCATCGGTGCGCGGAGAATCAGGTTCTGTTCGGTAGAAGGCATCGAGCGGGTAGGAGAAGAGCCGGGGAGACGCGGTTACGGGAGAGCCAGTCGTTGAATCGGATCACCGAGGTTCAGGAGGCCGAGGCACCCTCGTCCTGTCACAATCATTGTCACGTGTCGCGAAACTCGGCCGTGTTAGGTGTGCAGAGTATATCCTCGTCGTCTTCGTCGGTGTCCCAGAGCAGTACAGGGTCTCACAATTTCGCTCAGCCGATCTCACAGGCAGCCGCCACGATGCAGAAAGCCAAGGGTTTCGGGGCGAGGCTTTTGCAAAGCTGGTCGCTGAGCACCGGCAAGTCCTCTTTGTCGCAGCAGTCGAACAAGCAGAACAATTGTAGCCCGAACGGTGGTCGATTCAATAAACAGGAGCCGCAGAGGGGCTCCTGCCAGAGAATCGAGATGTGCTGCGATGAGAGGAGGGATCTGAACGGCGGTGGATCGATCAACCAGATACCGTCCAACGACAAAGAGAACCGAAACGGTTCCGTGAACAGGAACGACTGCAAGAACCGGAAGATACGGTTGCTGAGCCGTTACTTCGCCGTGCACAAGAAGCTCTGCGTACCCCTGCCCGGTCTGTTCGGTAAGGGACGATTGTACAAGGCTCGATCCTGCGGCAGCATCGCTCGCGACCGCGTCAGCCCACCGTCCCCAAAGTCCATGTTATTCTGCACGACGACGGACGACAAGTGGCGGGAGCATCGTCAATGGTGCGACGTAACGCACCAGCATCGCGGTGAGCGTCGTAGGAAAGAGCTGCACTGCCCTGCCCGCGGTCTGTCACATTCACCTAGGCGATGCCTCGAAGTGTTGCAGCCTCTGTTGATGAAACGGCATCGCGTCGCGGCATGCATAGCCGATGCACAAAAAGTAAAACGACGATAGACATCGACAGAACACCGCGCGCGCGGCCCGGCGCAATGTTCCTTTTCCGCGATGGATAACGATTACCGGCTCGTGGCGGGGAACCGCGGGGAGAGAGACCACGTGGTTATCACCAAGTGCAATCTATTTGAGAGAGAGAGAGAGAGAGATGGAGAAATAGAGAGGAAGAGTGTGTGTGAGAGAGAGAGAGAGAGAGAGAGAGAGAGAGAGAGAGAGGGACACTCGGTTGCGTAAACGGTCGTTACGACGCAACGAGTCGTGCAGACGTGAACCGATTCGTAGAGTTAAAGCGGATCATTTGAACGCGAGATTGTGGTAATCGTTAACCACGACCCCAGTGATTACGCGGCATGCGTCAATGGTCAATGTATTCAACCGATTCATGGCTCATTCCCTCCCTCCCCTGTCCCCTCATCCGCCCGTCCCAACCCACCCTCTTCCCCACGTTCCTCCCGTACGCGCCTTGAACCGATGCGTGTCCGATGAGCACAAGGGTCGAGTCAAGAGAGACAGAGCGTATCGATCGATCGGTCGCTCCGTACGGGAAGTGTATCTAGTCCGTGTGAACAAACCTATATTGAATATTGCAGAGTTTATTAATATTATTATATAATTATTATTATTATTGACTACGATTAATATTATTGTCATTATTTTAAACGTATGACGCAGAGATCGACGTGAATCTGAGAGCGCGGAGTCGCAACGTAACCAAATCATCCGGCGCTTGCGGACATTGGGATATCCCGCTGACCATGGACGGTCTTCCTAGTTGGTCCCTCCCGAACCCCCTCCCCCTTTTATTTATCTATTCGACTCCTGGTTCTCCTAGCAAATCGTGATCACCGTACTATTTTCCTACGTTAGCGAATACCCTCGTAGAATATTCGTGACTCGCACTCCGGCTCGGCTGTGTGATGCGAGACGAAACTCGCGCGATTCCAAAAAGAAAACCGACATCGAATTTGTATTTTGTGGTTCGATTCAGCGCATGCATGTATGAACTTCGATGGGAACGTCGTTAGTGGTGCTACACGCGAAGAAACAGGACGAAACGGGAGGAAAGAAGATGTGTGAGATGCTTGAGGAAACGAAATATTGGTCTTCTAGGAATATGTTCACGGAATCCTGGAAATTCGAAATCCTGTGCCCCATCAGACTCGAGGAATTTATAGACACGAGCTCAGCTGAAGCTTGTTGTAATAAACAAGGTTCCATGAATTTTTATATTTGGACCGAACAGACACGGAGAATTCGAGAATAATGTTTGAGACGATCATTAGATTCTGGCAAGATACTATTAAAAAATCTTCGAAGCTTATGCCCCAAGTAAACTTAAGAATAGTTCAGAAACAGATTTCTTCTGCGCACTCGGAACTGTTACTCTTGAGTAAGGACAAAGATGAATTCTAGGACCAAAGAAAGTACATTCGATTCGACAAATATCCAGAAATCGACAGTTCGTATCAGTGGTCCGAAAAATTGTGTCTAGTTAAGGAGCAAACAGTGACATTCTGGAAAAGATTCAAGGAATCCAACGTGTCAGTTTTTGTATTTCTTCTCGTTAGAAGCTCGTCGCTGTGTTTAAGAGAGCATCGAAACGTGTGCAATCCACGAGTGTTCGCGTGCTTGCTGGCTGAGCGCGTGCAACCTGTCGTCATCAGCGATTCGTCATCGTCATCGTCCTTGCTGAGCGCATGGAAGACACGTGATTTCTATCGGAGAACGAAACGACGTGTCACGAGTGGACGAAGTCCGAGCACGATGCTGGAAACGATAATTCATGACTAATTTCTCGAATACACTTTCCTGACACGTCGATCGTTGAGGATGACTCGATCAGGCTGCGTCGTGGAGCGTCTTGGATCCCTGGACTCGTCCGTTTCGAGGATCGAATGCGGGTCATTCGGTAGAACTCTCGCTTCGCGCGTTTCTCATCCTCTTTTGTTTATATATACGTAGACTACGCGAGAGAATGGTTCAAGCGTTGCAGATCGAAACCACAATCGAGGAGTCTTGTTTTTTTGTTTTTTAAATTGATATTGTAAATGATGTTGAGCGCTGTAACTCGAAACGAATGCTGCAATTTGGTACCGTGTACTTTGAAGGTTCTCGACAGTAAGACGCATTTATTCACGGATGGAGTCTGAAATTGATATTAGATTAATTAGAATTTGGTACATCGACAGCTAGATATATTGTTCGTGATTTGACCAACTCGAGTACTATACTGCCTCTGTTGGGATCAGTTACGACGAATCTTGAATCTTCAGTTGAGATTTACAAAATCGGAGATGAACGAACTTGTTATCCAGATAAAAGTATTTCAAATAACGAGTAAGCATAGTTTCTATAATTATAAAGTAAAATAAGTTATCTTTTCGAATGAGTGAATACTTACGGAAGACATGTACACCGTTCTCTCTTTTATCATTCCGAGAAAATTACGTTCATCTCTGAGTTCAATTACGAGGTGAGGGGAATGGATCCGAGAACATATAGTCTGAATGAAAAGAAAATCCATATCAGGGTACAGGGAATATTTGTAAACTAGTAATCTGACGATATTCAACCTAGAAATCGAGAAGGTAGAATAGTAGCGGGACACTGAATAGGTATCAATTAAGACCTACTCGATAAAGAGACCAAAGACTACAGTCTTAATTCTTTTTCCAGTGCGACGCATATTAAAATACATTAATATCAAAGTGTCCTCAGAAGTCTGACAAAGGTATCACGTTAATAGAATATCAAAAGCCTCTTACAGAAAGACACAGCTTACATCGGTACCAATTGCTGAATCTGGATCTACGAAGGCAACGAGGATCACAATCAGTAGCGTTTTGTAATTATTCGGTAACCCCGGTTTCGATCTTCAAATTCCGATCCCTTCCTCGTCGAAGCCGATTCCATGTCACCAAACCCCTCCACCCTTAACACCCCCGGGAACACATTTGTACCCAGCGCCTTCGAGTGTACGAAATGGAACGCGTATTTGTATCCACGGAGCCGTTAACACCGTTTGTAGCGTAATACAGCAATTTATTTATTATACATCCTGTGACGAGAAACGATGGTCCCCTTCAATCGTCACTGCCGACGATCGTCGATACCCCCCTTCTTTCTTCGATCTTCGCCTCCTCGAATGGTTGCTTTCCGCGACAAAGACTGAACAAATTGTACAATAAACTCGGTTGGATGCCTTGCGTCGCGCGATGACGATGACTCGACAAGGGCTAAGAATCTATACCCTTGCTCTTAAGCAACGGCCCGTGGTCCACATTCGTGGGGAGGATTAGTAAGTAAATGTAACTAATCCCAGAATCTCAGGGGTGATCTGTATCGACGTGGAGATGCTCGTCTCTAGTCCCCGAAGAATCACGGTTACGATGGTGCTGCTGAGGGGCATTTAAACATTATTCCATATTCGATGGAGAGATCCGTGAGGATCAAACCCATGATTCCACGAATCCTCCACTTTTAGGCTAGAGCCACGACGGAACCAAGCAACGCGTTTCGTTACCGGGCATTAAGAGAGACGTGAATATTCAAGAAGCTTGACCAACGTTCCCCATCCACCCCTCGAAGGTTCATGAAAATGTCCGTGTTCGCCGATTTCTTATACGATTAGAAGTACATTGCCGACTAAGAGTTCGAGCGTTGCTGAGAATGTATAAACGCCTGCAGCCGCGAAACATAACCTAGGCGAAGCGTCCGCGCAATCTGTACAAGAAGCTATCGCAAGATAAGGATTTCCTGTAACCGGAAAGCTGTTAGCTTCTCCCTGGGAGGACGCTGATGTATATTGGTAAATAACAGATATTTTTCGTGTTGCACATGAATCCCGTTAGAGGCGCAACAGATCTCGTGCATTTTCCTGCCCCCGCGATCACGGATGATCGATCGAGCGATTACAGCGAGACGAATCAATCGTACACCGCGTTTTCCATACACATACACAAACACACACATACCCAGAGAAGTCCCTTCGCGAGGTGTGTGAAAGCGCCAGTGTTTACGCTAAATTCATGTTCGCTAGTCCCGTTGATTGTCGTCGAGGCGACGACGACGACCACGCCACACATAGTACAATGACCCGAAGGTAATTTTTGTAAGTGAATCTTTTTTCCACTGGAAAACCAACGCGATACGTTGTTACACACTATATATACATATAGAGGGTGAATCGCTCGTTGCTAGGGTCGAGAGGCAAGTTGCCTGCTTTGTTGTTTAATTGTTGTGACCATAAACGTGTCAACGTAAAAACGTAAGATGTAGCTTACATTTACAAGGAAACCGACACTCTCTCTGTCTCTGTCACACACATAGACTGCTCAGCAGGAGTAGCCAGTGACTCTTAAATGACCAAATAGTAGGCTTGCCTCTTGACCCTAGCAGCGGGAGATTCACCCTGTATTTAATACCACGTGTAAAACATACATAGATACACGACACCATCCATCGAACGCCCCATGTCTCGGTCTTAAAAATACAAAAATTAAAAACAAAAAAAAAAGAAAAGTATATTGATGATGAGCATACACATATGTACGACAAGTGTCCGCTTTAGATTTCGTAAATGTCGACCCAACTTAACTGCCAGCTGAGTGTAACGAAACGATCCACCCTGCGTGCACCGGCGGCGAGAGGGAGGAGTGTTTTCTCTGTCGTCGGTCGGCGCATTAATCATTCATGCAATAACTGTGTGCCCGAATCGAATAAATGAAAAGTAACGAACAGCGAGAGAGTCTCTGCTGACAACTGTGTCTCGTTTCTCCCGTCACCTTTTTCTCATTTTGTTTTTAATTTTTCTGGGACCGTTCGAGGTCACGTTATTGCCAGTACATTAAAGAATGTTTATAACATCTGTGAAAGTTCGATGAAAGTCAACGATAAAGTTGAAACTTCGAAAGCTAGATTTGTTAGAGTAATTATTCCTTTGAAGTTTTTAAATCTCCTGGGTCCTAACTAAGTTTAATTTATTTTCAGCATTTTACCAATAAATTCTGTTTTTAGTTCACTACTTAAATGATAACCACCCATATATGTAGGTCATGTGGCAGTCAAAGTGTTAAAAAGAGTACTATCGTAACATGTGAGGTCATTAGATCTCCAGTCTCACCCAAAGATTATCGTCGCTTTAGAACCGCAATCTCCCATTAAGGTATTACAGAAATACAATTTCGAAAGTGTAAAATTTAATCTTGAGACATCGTTACGAACCCAATTCCTGATCGGTTTAGTATATAAGCACCATATAATAAGTTTTTTTCCAAAAAATTACTAAATAATTATTAACTGTTTTGAAATTCGTACGTAAAATTTGATACTTCAAAGATACAGATACCTGATTGAGGTGATCAGGAATTGCTACCTTTGCATTTCTGATTTTAAAATTTAAAGTATAATTTAATTACTATTATTGTTGCATTTTTGTTAATACCAAATTAAGGATATAACACGGGTTTACTCGGATAACAACAATTCTTTTGTAATTGGTTAATCTTTCTACTTAGACGTTAAAAAAATCGCGATAGTTACTCTTAAGCGATCAGTAGACTGCGGATTTGATGCAATTATACATGATAGGGCTCTGTAAAATACAGGAAAAGATAATCTTCCATCAGATGTAATGAATTTTTTCTATGGTTCTGAAGCTAATAATATGTTTAAGAGAAGTGAGAAATTCCTACATTTGCTCTTGTCTTTATGAATTACTGTAGAAAATGTAATTTTGCATAAAAATCAACAGTCTAATGATCAAGAACTAGTGTCTTAACGGTTTTGTTTAGTATCGTCTTTCAGCGATTTGGAGTTAAATGTATTCCAGATTCAATGAAAGTGAAACAACAAACAAAAAATGTCCGAAAACCGTACAAAGATAACATACGCAAAATCATTTATCAATCAAACGATTTTTATTAAAATTATAATTCTGTTTCAACTTATATATATCATTATAGCTGATCAACTTGCAGTTGCAGGCCGTTGCTGTCGCGTTTAAAAACAACGTTGTACTCGGGTCTGTCGCGGACGATCGATTCATCAAAAAACCTGACATACGTGAGGGAAATGTATCATTAGCGGGGCGGGCTCGCGTGGAAAAAAAATATATATACAACATGGCGATCGATGTACCCGCAATTACTCGGATAGCGCCGCGCATTATCGCGCCGCAGAATCTCACTCGCGCGCGCGGTTTACACGCGTTATCGCCTCTGATCAGTTCCGGACAGTTTTCCTGGCAGGCATTCAAGCCGTACCTGGCAGGCGATTGTCCGTTCCGAAACTTTCCGTTACAAAATATCGTTTATTTAAAACTCTCGTTACGTCGCGACGATTCTTCGTCGTTCGAATCTGTCCGGGCATTGTTCAGTATTCCCATTGGTTACTCGAATCTACCGTATAAAATCGTGATCTAGAAATCACTTACGGAATACAGACAATTCGAAGGTCTTTCGTTTATAAGGAGTGAAAAATAGTATCTATTTTATTTTGGAAGATAGTCTATCATATCCAATATTCGCTAATGTTAGAGTAGATTCATGTTTATAAGATTTTTATCACTTTACGGTGGCTCGTTTGTTGCTTATTACTTACAAGAACATTTTCCTTGATGCGAAGGGAATAATATTCAACTTGCATCGAGGTGACGTGTAACGAGAGAATACTGCGCTTATAATAGACAATTGATATCGCGTTGCATGATAATCGCACAATCTCCAGACGTGTGTAAATGTGTACAAAGGGCTTATCTAGTTGAAACACGTCGTAGAGAGGCGATAGTCTGTAAAAAAATACATGTGCTTCACGGTGATCGCGGGAACTTCGTGTATGTATATCGGAATGTGTTGAACTCGGAAGCTGCGATCGGTGCCTAAGAGGCCAGTCTTCGGCAACGAAGACTCGAGGTATAATAGTTAACACGAAGGCAACAATATTAATAATTCGGTTCGTTCCATCGTTGCGGAAGAACCAACCGTGTGCGTTACCGTTGCCGCCTTAAATGTATACATATACAGTGCTAGTTGAGAAGGATACCCGAAGACGCAGACAATTTTATCCCCCTACCATTTCGGAGAGCCTGTGCTTGAAGGAAGAAAAAGAATGAGTCGATTAGAGCGCTGGACTGTCTCCGGTTTGACTGAGTAATTGAGCTGTCTAGATCTAGGTCGACGAATTCCTTCTTCTCAAGACCAGTATCTAAGATGGCCGCCGCTCGGGCTGGTTTCAGTTAACCTAACAAATACGCTATCGGTGATCCAGGCCTGAAGTATCAACATAACGTTCGAATCGCAATAAACACTCTAAAATTAACCCACTTCTTATAGATCGTAGAAAGAAACATAGAAATATTAAGATTACCGAAACACTCACGTCCTAATTCTAGCCTTTGAAATGCAGATAACACATGACGCCTTGAAGACGCCCATTCTACGGCTATTTTACGTCTGAGACGCCTTTAAGCCGTCATTAAGTCTGCTATCTGGGAAAGAATACTGAATAACAACCTAAGCCTCTTAAATTAATCTACGTACACGTGAAATATTGTTCGTTTAGATCGTCCTGTATATTACAGTATGCCTCTCAATTTTATCAGTCTTTTCTCTGCTCGCCGGATTCGGCGAAGCTTTTCCTGTCGCGCTTATCTTGCCTCGGGTCCCTATTCATTTTCCTGCCTGAAAGAGCAAGATACGGATAGGAAGTCAGACCCAGATCAAAATTGTCCGTGGCTCGTGGCAGCCTTCCGTACGCGTGGCACCATACGTGTGAATAAAAAATGACGTAGAAGAACACCACCCCATAAGTTTAGCAAAGCTCCGCGGAAGAATCGGAACGTCGCGGCGCGGGAAAATATATCGGCAGTTGCTTCCCAGATTTTAAAAAAATATTTCACGTCGCAGGGATTCCCGCCGAGATCTCTCTGAAGACACAGAAAAAAAAAAGTATCTCTGAAAAAATGCAGGACTGGTTTTTCCCATGAAATATTGAGCAACCGCCATTACGCGGGAGGGCTCGATGGCTGATGGTCTAGGTACTTCAGAGCCTTCTTGCTGTTTTCGACGAATTCCTGAAACGAAACCGAAGACTTCATTAAAATCAGCTTTCTATAGGAGGACTAAGCATCGGGGAAAGTTTTAATCACCATTAATCCTCGGCTCATGAAGTAGGGTCGATTGATGCCATCGTTCTTCTCGCAGTCTTCACAAAAGCATATGAATATAGTGTCTATTACCATCTGTAACGGATGAACGAACCGTTATATCGTCAGGAGATTGGATATTCATCTTACAGAACTGAGATACTAGAAAACGATGCAGATTATTCATCTGGTTTATTTGTAATCACCTCGTAGATGGAGATGAAACAGTGCGACACCAAGAAGGCGAACAGACCAGCTACAGCTATTGGTACCCAAGGATGGTGCAGTCCTTCTTTTTTCTAAATACACAAGAGAAATTAGAAGATAGAATTAATGGAAGACTCGTTCAAGAAGAACGTTCATGTACCTGCATCAGATAAATGCCCGAGACGACAGTTAATGTAACGACCAAAACCTTTCCTAAGAAAAGGACGAAATCACCGACGCTGTTAATGGCGGCGACTCTTAGAATGTTGCTCGACAAGGCATGGAATGCCTTTCTTCCACCCGTGCAGAAGTTGCACCCGTATATTGCTGCAACGGTAATTTCCATTACATTCGTATACTAATTTAATTCTATACAACTTTTTGCAATTTTTTTTATTCGTTCACCCAGTCGAATACACTGTAATACCTTCTATAATACGATTAATTACGCGAATGTTCTCATTTCGTACGATGGATTACTTCATTAAATTTTATATTGACCAAATCAATGGTTTATATCGTCAAATCTTTAATTATAATTCAACTGTCGCGATTCCGTCACATTGCAAAATTATTTCCATCAAAACCACGACGTACAAAGTATTACCGTGCAGCGACGGAAGGCACGAATGAAAATCAATTTCGCGATACTCGAAAGAATATTCCACGGAAGTTGTACCGAATAATCAGCGTGAAACTATCTTGTCGCACTTAAGCGCTTAATACCTCACCTGTTTCGATGTAAGCGTTCCTGGTGAGGAACTTCAGCGCGCATTCGAAACACCAGAGGCAACATTGACAGCACCACAATATTCCCCGCACAAGGTCGTTATCGTACCGCTTCAGGCGATTTTGGACGAAGGAAATTATCGCTCTTATGAACCGAACTATACCAATAACCAATGCGCCGAACGCGACCGTACCTAAGTGATATCGCACCAGATAACCGAAGCCCCGCGTTACGGCTAGCGAGAGCTGTTTCTTGTCCCTGTACGGAAAATATTTCCATAATGAAGTTTACCGTTTCTGCCTGGTCCGAATTCTCCCCCCCCCCCATGGATTGCTTTCTGCAATTTGGCGGTCGTTAATCGGGAATTCCGTGTTTCCAGCGCGGTGGAGCAAATTAGAGCGTCGAATTATCCGAGAACCGATTACACGGAAATTGGTCCTTCGATCTTCGTTCGCGAATCTTGCGTTAGAGTAGCGTCACGTTGTTAAATGGTTCAATTACAAGCGGTAAAAGGGTATGCAAGAAACAAGGAATTGGGAATTGGAAAATGATGATCATAATATTGTAGTAGAGAAGGTGGTGTAGATATGAGCTAGCACTTTTACCTCAGGACTTATTTGTTGAAGATTTTTAAGATGTAACACTTCAATGTGTTTACTTTATGACATGGAATTTAAAAAATGTTCTCTTTGAGTCGTAGCTTTATATTACTCCCCCTAGAATGAAGCACGTAACATGACCCTATACTTTCAACTAACCCATATTTAGTCCCTAGCCTGTATTTCAACCACCTCCTCTATCCAGACCACGAATCGCGAGACGTTAACAATGTCACATCGTGAAACAGTCCGAATGTGATTAAACATAGGTCGACTGTGTGGACAAGTCCCAGTAGAACCGTCCCATGGAAATTTCCACCTGAGAAAGCAATCCACTTTGATAGTACGGGTATCGATCAAAATGTCACCTGGTGAAGAACCAACGTGCAACGGCGCAGGCGACGACAATGTGCTGACAGCCAAGTAGGAACTCGCAGGTCACGAAGAAGAAGAACAAATTGTACCATCTGGCCGCCTGCGAAATATTACGATACACTTTTTAACGTTGGATTTCCTTCGACAAGATTCGCCGATCCGTAAACTTACGATCAACAGGCCGTCTTTACGGAAGTGGATGTGATTCTTCCTGTTCTTGTAAATGTTCCCCGCGCTTTCTATCCACATCATACAGTACACCCACGCGCATACGGTGAGACCGATCAGCAAGTAGGTCTGAAAATACGATTTTATCGGTCTCGACAGACCTCCTCCGTTTGCGTATCTATCGATTCTGTCGTCGAATATTTACGTATATCGGTTGAAGCAGCAGAACCGGCATCGCGTAGACAGCCTTACCCGCCTCGCGGAACAACTGCATCACGAGGGCGATTCTTTTCCTCATCACCAAGACAATCAGAAGCGTGATCACCTGTAAGATTGTTTTAGGTACTTTCGTTGCTTCTGACAATTTAGCTTCTTTGCTGGTGTCTTCTGCAGTTTGAAATAGCCTTCGATTTCAGAATTTTAGTCGGATTATAATTCGAAATTTAAACTTTCGTCGAACAAATTTTGAGTAAAGTTACTAAGCAAATAACCGTACCAAGGATCAATAAATATTTTTAATAGTTGTATAGGATTCTGATCATGATGATTCGCCATTTAAACTTTGACCAAACAAATTTTGAGTAAAATTAGTAAGTAAATAATAATAACAAGGGTCCATGCATACTTTTAACAGTATATAGGATTCTAAGTTCAGCAAAGAATAGGTTTCATCATTTGTCTCTTAGAATCTAGAATAGCTATCTATAGTTTGAAATAGCCTCTGATCATGATGATTCGCCATTTAAACTTTGGTCGAACAAATTTTAAGTAAAGTTACTAAGTAAACAACCGTACCAAGGATCAACAGATATTTTTAACAGTTGTATAAGATTCTGAGTTCAACAAAGACTGGCTTCCATCATTTGTCTAGAATAGCTGTCTACAGTTTGAAATAGCCACTGATCATGATGATTTGTCATTTAAACTTTGGTCAAACATATTCCTAACAAAATTACTAAGTAATTAGGAGCAACAAGGATCAATACACGTTACAAAGAGTACAACTAGTAAGAGTCTAAGAGTTCAGCAAAGAATTGATTCCATCCTTTATCTAGAACTATGAAAGGACAGTTGGAAATGGCGATCCTCGGATTCTTTGAGGTATTTCTGGTCGCAAGATGGTTCCTTACGGTAACAGTGGACAAAATTATCGCGTAAATGAAGTAGGCATCCTGGCTGGAATCCTCTTCCGGTATTTCCTGTGTCTCCACCCCCTTCTTCTCCGCGTACCACGCGAGCCTAAAGGAACATAATGCCCGTGCGATACAGTACGGCCAAAGATGGAGAGGCTCTCACGGCCATATTGTCGGTCACGAGCTCTATCGTGCACAAGATAAATCCCGGTTTACAAAGGGATGCGCTTACCAGAGGTACGCCGAGCCGCCGATGCAGGCCAGAATGGCGCCGATTAAGACAATGTAAACGACCCACTGCACCATATACCGGAAGGCAATTAAGATACCGAGTGAGATAGCTGAAAGTCATTTGCGAAAAATGATAAGAATGCCAGCTGATCAGAGATAGGCGGCGCCTCGTGCTTCGAAAACTCATACCTAACGCTATAAGCAGCAGGTAGATCAGCTCCCGCCAGGCGACACCAAGATCTCTCGACGCCTCCTGAAACATCGAGATTTATCTTTACGATCGTATTATAAGGAATGAAATGCATCGATTATTTAAGGTGTTGAGATCGAAAATCTACACACGGTTTTTTTTTTGTATTCGATTATTCTATTTGTTTAAACTATTACTATATCTGAAGCGTAATATTATTAAAAAAAGAAGCTATTTTACAGTGTATGAATTTTTAAACATTGAAGCAATAACGCGAATATAGACACACATTTCGTTTGGATTAGAAGCATGTATTCCACCCATTTTTATGATCGAGACGTATTTTACTGCACCCTAGCAGTTGGATTGAACGATTTAAGGTAGTTTTGTTTTTTATTCGTGCGATTTCAGTTGAATTTTTCGATGTTTGAGTTAATACTTTACATTGAATAAATAAGATTAGGTAATAATAGCATCTTTGTGTCACATAGGTTTGAGGGAATTAGCTTGTTGTATCTATAATTTTGTACTGATAGGGTGAAGTAATTACTACGTAAATTATAGGGTAAGGTCAATTGAAGTCCACGATAAAATAAGTGAAATATACAGGAAGCACTTATCGTATGAATGAACTTTTAAATCTCAGAATAGAACTTACTTGAATTAAGTATATAAAATTGTGATCTTTTTGTGGAAAAATGTAACAGCTAATGTTGACCTCACCCTGTTAGCTAGCTAAAGATTGCTACCCCCGATCACCGCTACCATTATTTAGCAATTGACGTTCACGCCTAGCTGGTTAAGCACAAACAAATCTACGTCCAACACGGTCACAATACGTACTTGTATTCGACTTTTACTGATAATGTAGCTACCGACCTTGTAGAAATTTTCCAAACCGAGTTTCTTGATCACCGAATTGGTCGTTTCGGAGACTTGCTTTGGCACGCATCGATTCAGGAATAACACCCTAGTGTCACGGGAACAACACACGAGAATAAATAGTATCAAAGACGATAATAGAAAGAACAATACTGCTGAAAGGTAGAATTACAGTTGAAACAAAATCAACCAGACAGTCGGAAGATATTATTGTAATATTTTCTTAGATATTCTATATTTAAAAGCGACCAGTTTACTTTGTTTCTACTATAATGGAACTGTTCAATAGTTTGTTTGGCCTTTGACAGTTGTAAAAAATTAAAACATAGAGCTACTAAGAGGAAGATCCTTTAATTTAAACGTGCAATTGCTTTTTTCGAAGCTCGTTAACACTTCGACTGCCAACTCCTTCGCATATATCTAAGGTAATCATCTAACCATTAATCTGCAACTGAAAATAAGTCTGCATCAAATGATTAAATAGAACAAATTTATCCAAAGTGAATAATCGTCAACGACTCAAAAAAGAAAAGAAACATATACTGCGACAAATTTTGTCCCGTACCGTTTTCAGTCTCATCACAAACACCATTTCAATCCCTCAACAATCTAATAGCTGCCGATCATCTGACCGTCAACGTGTTAACTGATATTCGATAAAAGCATCACGCGATCCAATAAATCGAGTAACCAAATTGGTCACCAAAAAAACATTCGTCTACCAATTCAAGATCGATTCCCGACCCCGCACAGTGGTCGAGAATCAAAATTTACCAGCTCAAATGGTGGAAAGCAAATTACTTTTATCTTCCAAAAAAACATAGATCAACTTATTATTAATCATAGAAGATTTGTTCCATGCATTATTATTCTCCTCCAACCCTTTCGTATTATCAACCTCAATAAAAAATAGAAAAACACCCTAAAAATTCAGACTTTCATAAAGATGTTGAGAACAAACTATTAGTAAATGATTACATTGACAATGAAACGTGTTCGTTTACCTACATATATTTGTATAAAACTTATAAGTAGACGGCGGATGTTTAAGTAAAATTCACATTGCAACCTGCAGTTTGAAATATTATTTTATAAACCTGAAAATTAGTTAGAAATTCATTTCCTGCACTAGATGTCTTATTATGACAAACACCATTAAATTTGAACTGAAGTCCTATTTTTACTACATTTTACAACTTGACTTCCATAAAAAGTTAACAAAAAAATCCCCTAAACATGCACAGTCTACTTAGTTTAAGAAAATCTCGATTCCTAGAGCTAAATAATCGTACGAGCTGCCAAATTTTGATTCCAGTCCACTGTGCCTCGGGGGCCGACAATGTTTTCAAGCGAAACGCGCGCGGTTCAAGACTCGTCGGTCGTCCAGCGAAAACACGTGCATTATGCAATACTAACTGATTGTCGCAGGTGGACACGCAGGTGCGATTGTACACCCCCTTCGGGCCCAGGGTCATCAGCAGATACCTGCGGGGCAGAAATGAATTATTAATGAGCAGGCCGGTGTTAATGAACCCGCGGGCCACCGCGGAATGTGTCGGTCGGAATTGGAAAATCCGCCGGAAAAGTGTTTCCCCGCCTCGTCCCGACCTCGAGGATTTATACGGAGCATTAACGGCAATTACGCGCGTTATTTCACAGCAGAAAGGGGGGATGGCGTAAGTTCTCGACGGATTTTTTTTTAGTTTTAATCGAGTACGGGAACGGCCAACCCCCTTGCGCCCCGCGACGCCGCAATTTGCGTCCCGGCGCCCCGTATTCGCGGACTGCTTAACGAAATATTAATCATCCTCCCCGCTTTCATAGTCGGTGTACTTGTTTCATTCATTATCACCTCGTAAAATATCGGCGGTGGTATTGTTGTAGCAGCGCGGAGCAACGATATCAACGCGATTCGCGGATTTTATGAGGACACAAGCTAGGTTTATGGGATGGGCTGTGTTGTCCGCGAGAGGAGTCGTTCGAGGCTGGATTCGAGGGATTCCTGGAGTGGGATCATTTATTAAGTTTTCGTATCGATGTGGAGGATTTTAATTGGAGTTGGGTGTAATCGACTTAACCCCAGTACGGTCCTCAGGTTTGATGTATATTCGAAATAATGTTGGGAAAGAAGAAACACGTGGTGTTTGTTAGGTATTTCGCAAACCTGAGAACAGTTTCGAAGAGACGAGATTAAGATTAAGTGGGGAAATTGTGTGAAGTTGTAACTGCGTTAACCCCTTGCCTTGCAACATCGAGCCAGACAGGTGATAACGATTTCAAACTGAATTTAGTGAACATGTGTATTATTCGTTTTCTTTGAGTCGATGTGAAATACTGCTTCGCTGATATTAACATTTAAGGTTCAGAATAAATATAACACTTGACATAAGAATAAAATTCCTTTTGTATCTGGGAAAATATTAACGATAAAGTACTTCTTGAAAGTGAAGTCGTAAATAAAATCGTATGGCAAGGGGTTAAAGAAACGAAAACAAGATAACCTCTTCAGACACAAATTATTAAGACTTTTTTTTTCATGAAACATTATTGTGAACATTAATGACAACAATTGGTAGATTGTACTTTTATTTGTTACGAAATTTCCGAGTGTTTATTCACAATAATATTCATTGTAACTTTGGAATCATGCTTGAATGAAAAAAAAAATGCTTAATCTCTCAAGAGGTTAAGCAAGTCTTTGAGAATATTATTCATACTGAGTTGGTATTTTTATAAGGTTACTTTAATCGAATGTCGTGTGTGTTAACCTTTACGCCGCGACATTCGATTATGGTCGAACTCGCTCACTGCGGGATTCGAGTTAGTTTACGTGCAATTCAATATTAATAAATATGGAGTTATGAATAAGTGCTGTCTACAATATTTAAAACACCGCTAATAATAATCAGATGAATCTAAAATTGTTGTTTTCCTTGTTTTCACAACGATATGCTAGCAACATAAAAAATACAAAGAACGTTGAAGATTAATGAATTTGTCTCCAATAAAATTTGAAGAATAGTTGGATTAGCTACGTACCGTAGAGGTTGAGTCAATTACAAGTAAACTTCACCACCCTTGTTTTAATTCCAAATAAAATTCCAATAAATCAAATTATAATCCATTAAATACAAATGTAGTTAAATCCTTTACGTCTGTACATCTATTCTTAGCCACCAGATTACTCATGTCTGACATAAACACTACCGCAAAGAGTTGAAATACAGTTGTATCGGTTTAATTAACATAATTCTCAATGAAACCCTGAAAACAAGGTCTTATTATATTCGCAGCCAACCCCGCAAAAACACGGCAGTGTATCACGTTATTTCAAACCGGTGAAACCATCGAGAAGTAAATAAATCTCATTTTATTCGCGCTTCCGCAGAACTTCACGTGGTCTCTATATTGAATAAAACGCAGGAAAATGAAGTCCCGGTAGAAGGATACTTTTCAACTTGTTGCGGCAAGTATATTTTCACGCGAATTCCCCGGGTTTCCACGTAAAAGGATTAACAGCGGAGGGAACTTTGTTTGGCCGAGTAATTCCGTCCAGAAAGCCACGTATCGTGGAACGAAAACCGTAAAGGAACGAGGTGACGTTGGGAATTCGACTGAAACGCACGGGTAATCGGAGGAATTGTCTTCGTCGCGAGACAATGAACTGAAAGGAACAATTTTATTCCCCGAATAAATTATAAAATAATCACGTGACAATTGTCTCGACGTAAAGAGGTGGAGATGTTGTTCATTTACGACGGGCGAGAAAACAACGGCGAATCTAATTTCTAACGCCACCCCCACCCCAAAGAGGTGGGACGAAGCTATGAAAATTGTATCCCCGCGGCTTCGACCGCAAAGGATTAGCGCGCTAACAAATTTATTCAGCGAATATTTTTCGCCCGGTAACAGGATACACGGGAAAGTTGGACGGGGAAACTTTTTACCGACACGTTTCGAACCCAGTAGCGCACCGCCACGGCCGCAGGAAAAAGGGAAACTTAAAATTCTGGCGAAAGAGAGTGGGGGAAACCGCCACGCTCCGAAGTCGGCGAAAACTACGGCGTTATTCTGTTTACGTGAATTCGCGGGGAATATTTTTCGTTTAAATAAATAGAGACCTGCCCCGTTCCCATTGATACTCAGAGGATTCGGTGAGGGGGGGAGGGAGTTTTCTTATTTCGCGCAGAACGGGAAAACGCGGTAAATTGAACTCTAATATTCAGACCGTGAACGATTCACACTTTGCCCCCCTACCACGAGTTCATTCGTGCGAATATTTTGGTTCGATAAGAAGCTTGCTAGAGAACTTCATTACATTTATTTACACGTCTATTTTGTACTGTTTTTCTCGCTGTGTATGGAAAATGGAATTATTGGATTGGCCAAAAAATAATCTGGGATTTCTGCGGTAGATCAAGCTTTTTTTGTTTTTCAGTGCAAAACGCTGTTTCTATGTAATAAAATGTATGCATATTTTGAAAGCTCACACTTCTACGCGTCGTTCAAAAAAGGAACTATCACGATTGCGTCAAATTTTTTTACAATTGACATGTATTGAAAATGAGTGAAAAGGGACAAACATGGTACACAAAAAAAAATAATTTTCATAATTACTTAAAAGTACATTTACCCGTAACTCATTTTCAAAACAAGGTTATTTCAAGAAAATTTACGCAATCGTGATAATTTATTTTTTAAACGATACGCATTGTAATGTCAATTTTCAGACTATTGAAATTACAAAGCATCACCTACTGTCGAAATCTGTGATTACTTTTTGGCTAATCCAATATTAGGACACTGCGTGAATTCTGTCAGATTCTTATTGAATAAAGATTTATTTATCGAAATTCTGTCTTTAGTTTAAATCTGGACACAAAGTAATTAAGAAAATGGAACTTTTATGAATTACAGTCCCGTTGTTGATATCATTCGATAAGTAATATATTCATTCAGATATTTGATTTGGTCTTAGACGTTCATTTAATTATTAGATCGGTAACTAAAAATATTTTTTATTTATAAGAATCCAACACATTTAAAGCAGCCATTTGGAATATGAAATTGACCGTACATAAAGGTGAAGGTATTGATCTAAACGAAATAAATAACTATTAGGTATTCCGAACACTGGTTTGCACTCTAAGGAAGTATGTATCGCTGTCAGTGCGGTGGCAGTAGTCGCGAGAGCTCCTGTTTTATTTACATTGGAAAGTGAAGCAATTAATATAGAAGCACACTGTGCGTCAAATCAATTAAAAGCGATAATAAAAGACACGTTGAACGTTTGCTAGACAAAAATGAAATTTTACGTTTTTTTTTACAATTTGGAAAGTTATTGCAATTAATTTAACGTACAAATAGTTCCTTTCACCGTAATCACATATATAAATACCTTTCCATGCTAACAAAAATAAATTCCACAATATTAAAACAACCACATTTAACAAAAAAAAAAAAAAAAAGGAAAGCATTAATCTCTTAAATCTCACATGAGAGAGGGTACCATTTTAAGCGACTTAACAAAACAGCAAATACTTCTCGATTTTAATCCACAATACGTTCACTGTGATATTCAACAATTATTTTCATACATTCTCTCGTCCGTACATTTCAGATTTAACGCGTTAATGCAGAAAGCATTAAGCTAAATCCAACGAAACAAAAACTTCAGTAAGTAAGTACCTTTACATATTCAACGCATTATGAATCCCGTAAGAACCCCAACCACAGAGAAACAGCTCTTTCATTTCCCAGTTCTATAAATCCTTCCATTTGGAAGCCGTGGAACGCACAGCATCGAGATGTTAAAGGAACACACGCGCACCGTCCGAAAATTATTCGTACGTGTTTGGATCAACAAAAATTCAAAGCCGTCAACCAGGCCAACGGGGGTGGGGTGGACTCGCATGAATCGTCGATCGGCCCGGCTGGCGAAATTCATGAGCTCGGGGTAGGAATTAAAGTCCCATCAGCGGACTCTGTGCGAGCTAATTACTCAGCCTTTAACATTTTCCAGGGAATTTCTGCGCCGTCGCAATCATGGAAACTTGAAGGCAGAGGAGAGTTCTACGGTTGATGCTTACCGTTCAGACGTCTTGTCTGCGCCCTTGCAACTGAATTCGGGATTAGTTTCCGGCAGTGTGACTCGGCCGCACACGTTCGCACAGTCATCGTAACCATTTATAACGCGGTGGACGTCTCCTTTCTTCACTGCGTTGCTCACCAGATAACCCTGCACCGGAAGTCAGTACGGAAAACATATACAGTGCGCTCGGTTTAAGTGTATACACGTTATTATTTCTCTAATTATTGAAAATATGACAAAATATTCGACTTCGTAGAGCAAACTTAACAGAATGCATGAATTTTTTAAAACATTTTTATTTACCAAGATTTTAATAATAATGTAATCTTTTTAAACGAGACCACATATTTTTATTATTGTCATGTTATTAACCCTTTAATCCCCAGTGTGACGTGTACATTTAGAAAACCATATTTCCAGGGGTTTTGTCGTGAGAATACAGATGAGGTGCATGTATTGGGACCATTTTCGAGTTAACTAAGCGTGAGAAATTATTTTTTCAACGGAGGAGGTGTTCGGCAAGGTTATAAATAAATATAACGACATATTCGAAAATTTTGTTTAAGTAACAATTTGAAATGTCAAGTTTGGTTAGCGTCTTTCGCCCATAACGTGTGTGATCGGCGAGGCAAGAAACAATAAAATTGCCACCAATATTCATACGGTTATCCAAGAAATTATTATTCAAACAGTACTTTAAAATATATCACTGACTTCGTTTTGAAATGCTTAATAACATAGCAACGATAGAAATATGCATTTCCATTGAAAAAATCACACTGTTATTAAAATCTCTGTAAATAACAATTAATAAGAAAATTCAAATATTCTATTAACTTTACTCCATGAAATCAAACTACTTTTATACGAAATATTTTTTCGTATTTTCGATACCCAGAGAAATAATACCGTGTATACTCTTAAACCGGACGTACTGTATATTCTGGCTGTATTGTAAGGGAAATAGGGACAGCAAAAGGGTTAGAGGGATAGATAGAGGTAGCTCTCTCTAGTATCGTAGAGGGGGAGGGGAGCAAAGAGGAAAATACGAAGAACCAGACGGCGTGAGACGTACGAAACCAGCGGTAAGAGCGATCAGCACGATCAAAGCCACGATGTCGGTGCACGATCGATCGGTGACGAAAATCTGCTCCGAGTGTCTGGTCGGCGTGCCCCCGTTCTCCTGCGTCTGAAACGGATAAACATGGAAATTCGTCGCTGGAGGAACCGTAACTCTGGGAAGGAAAAAACCGAGACGCACCTCCATTTATTAACGTCGTCGCGGTCGCGTTTCACTTTTCTTTGTTTTTATTCTTTCCTTTTTGTTCCTCGTGAATATTCGTCAGCGATATCTGTTGGCGAGCGACCGAATTAATGCCAACACTCACCCCCCCTCGGATCGCCGGGCGTGAAAACCCCCTTGGATCGAGCTGGTAACCGCTGGCTGGCCTTTTTTTTCCGGTGAAAATTTATCGAAGTACCGCGGTTGAATGAAAAGTGTTTCGGCGAATTTAAAGGGAATGGTGGTTTCGTTGGGAATAAATTAGTTCGGAATGAATCTTCAATCATGTTTTCGATGTAGCAATAAGTAATGGATAAATTATTTTTAATAATTTTAACCATCGTCGAAACGGTTTGGGCTTCGGAAATTCCTGGAATATGAATACTTAATTTAACGAAGGATGCAGGATTACTTATTGGTGTATTTAACCCTCGGAAACCACATCCCACCTGAGCATACGTAAACACCAGACTATTGCAAACTGGGAGTTTTAAACTTTGTTAATTAACAACTTGACGAGAATTAAAGCAAACTGAACTAATAACATATTTTTCAAGGTAAAATTTCCTCGGAAATTCAATGGTAATAATTGCAGAAGTGAGGAATCATTGTTTAGCTATGAAAATTTGTTACAAAGAAATGGTAAACTTCAAAAGGAACAGACGAAACAATGTTTTACTAATTACTGAGATACTGAATACAGTAATGGCCACAAATTTAAGATAAAAAACCATATTTTAAATTACGCAAATTAACAAATAATTCGTCATTCATTATAAGATAAAGCTTAATATCGTTATATATATACATTGCATAAAACAGACCATTTATTTTTTCCTACCCAAAGTCTCAAATGTTTGTCCTACGAATTAAAGAAAAAAGGCACCACGATTCCGGACCGTAACGCTACAGAAACTAACGTTTCGTGCCAGGACTCTACGATTTTTCGCTCGATTCTCTGTTCCCGATATATTCCCCTGTTTATCGTGAAATGTAATTCGTTGTCGGGCAAAAATTCTCGAATCTCGCGTATTTAACGGTCGGTTTCGCCGGGCGTATCGTTTTTACGCGAGTTTCTACGATCGCTACGGTATGGAGGGGAGTAGAAGGACGAAAAAAGGGCATGAAATCTATCGTTTTCGCGGCGATCGTCCCAGTAAATTTTGCAGCCGGTGAAATCGGGCGGAGCTAATGCTTTTACCGAATCTGCGCCGTTTCAACGGCACAGAGAGAAAGGGTGTGGGTTGGGGGAGGAACTTGTAACCCTGTTACAAGTCAGAGACCGTGTGCAACCACCACCCCTAAATTAATTAGATTCTTTGACGGTGACCTTGCATTAGCGTCCCGCGCCGTAATTAAATTCCTCCCGAGCTTATTAAAAGCACACCATTCCGTTCTATTGATCACATCATTATCCCCCCCCCCCTCTCCCCCGCGCCGGTCTTTCCTGCGTTTCGATGGCCTACCACGCGTGGAATGTGTCTCTTAATCACATTTCACTTTCGTTTCTGTTTGGCTGGGGCCGAGCCCATTTATAGCGCGTGAAAGACAAATTAATTGATATGGTAAACGGTTTCACGTAGGTAGAATTTTAAATTTCGTCCTCTATTTTGTTAGTAAGCGGTTTTATTGTCTGATCAAAATGATAGAAGACGTTGAAGGACAATGAAGAGTAGCATAAAATTTCCTTGTCGGTTTTGGGAACTGTTCACTTGGAGTAATTAATTATGCAAACACCTGTCAGGACAATTTCGGTATCTAGATACAGAGCTCCAGGTAACGAATAAAAGATAAAGAATTCTTTTTTTTTTAGACCGATGACGACACTGGTATGACGAGTGGTGACAGTTCAGATATACGAACACACATATTTCGCGAAGTTCTATTTCTTGAATGACACATTCAAGCGAATTCCTGTCCGCCGTATATAGATCTACAGTCATTCATGAAAGTTTTCGTACACTCCACAAAGACAGTCAATATTATGAGATACATTTCATTTTTTTTTATTTATTATAATATTCCTACAGACCATCGGTTTCCAACCTTTTTGTACTTGCGAACCACTTGGCAGACAATTTTTCTAAATTGTACACTACAGTATTAGAAAAATCGTTGTAATTATATAGTTGCTGCTATTTGAATTTTTTTCGCGTACCCCTAAATACCTCTGAGGACACGTTTACTAGTTAATATTATCCAGTAAATAGTTAATATTATTTCTCATGTAAACATTACACGAAGTTATTGTTTCTATTAATCCACCTGACTTTTTTATGGGATGTACGAAGACTTTCGTGACTGACTATATACATCGCTCGATTTTCAATGAAATCACGTCAAGTATTTCGTTTAATTACTCCATACGTACATAATCTTATCGATACTACCTGTACTCGAAGTCGAAGGTACTCGATGTCATTTCAATGATTAACCCCCACCGCATCCTTCAAACAGAAGGAACGTCGTACAAGTGAATGGTGGGGGGGGGATGTAAGCTATAGCGTGTTTTACAATCAGGCAAATGGCCTTGAGCGACCAATATTCCTAGTGGATATATGTGTGTGCGCGCAGTCACGTGGCCAGAAGATCGGCTTATACAGGGAGGGACGGGGTTAGAGCTGATTCAGTGGATAAACGACGGTTTAGCGGAGTCTGCGACGCTCGTTGCGCGGTAATGAACTTCAGTATTAATTGGACGTTTCAGCTGGGTCGGAGACAACTCCAGTCTCGACCCTTTAAACGAACAGAGTGAACGCCATACGTTATTACCGGACACATTCCCCCGTTTCGGAGTTGTTACTGGCGTATTTCGAAATAAAAAAGGAAAACCGGCGCTGACAGGAACATCACATTAAAGAAATTGGGCCGAGAAGAAATTCGGTATTGGATCGTATTGTAAAAATAATGGGGAACGAACTATCAAATAATTGGGAACAGATCGTTAACTTTTCAATCAATATTGGAAAATATCTAGACTTTACTGCTATTGAAGGTACAAATTAATTGATTATTAGAAGGGTTAGGTGGTTCGAAAATATTGGACGAGTATTTTTTTGTAGCTAAACTCACAGATTTCTATATTATATACTAGTCTGTTAACTAATTTTACTTATATAAAATGTCCTCGACAACCATAATACAGTCATTTCAACTTATATGCGTTTTGGGGACATTTTATGTAAGGAAGTTAACAGTCCAGTATAAATATAATAGAATTCTGTGGTTAAACTCAGGTTCTTGAATTGTCTAATTTAGTCATTTGTACCTATGTTCAATAATATTGGAAATAATTAAAATGTTCGTAATTATCGAGACACCCTGTATATACAGATACAATCGCATTCTAAGAAATATTATTTCACGTTCCATTCGGATGGTATCAATCGGATAATATCAACTGTATCTACACTTCTAAGAAGAATCGCGATAAAAAGTTCGCTATTCGACTACAAGCTCGCGCTTCCTGTTAAGTCCAGGCCTTAAATCAGTGATGGGCAACCGAGCTCGCTCGGGCATGCTGCCCGTACGGGCAAGTGGTGGGCAGCCGCGGGCTCCTGTGGAGACGTTGCGAGGCAAGAAACGTCACGACATACTTCTGTATTGGGATTTCTTGACTAAATCTAAACTAGAGTATCACTGCTGTAGATTAATAATCATTTCTGTTTCCTTTTATTAAATAAAGATAGAAGTAATTTGATCATGTGTCAGCCACGCGAAAACGGTGCCTTTATATTAAATAATATTATGTGTAAGGAGTATTTAAAGAAATTGTTATTAAATTTGTTTACGATTTGCTAATAAAAAACAGTCAAATCATACGTATGCATTATTCACTAATCCCAGCACTATCTCCACTCCTATTCCTAATTTCAATATACCAAAAAAATAATAAGAAACAATAAATAATAGCAAAATAATACATTCTCAAAATTTAAAAAAAAGCGCGGGAAACGACAAACACTGTTATGTGGAGCTATCTGGTGGCGATTTCGCGAACTAGATTAAGAAGTTTTGAATTTAGTTCCAATTTTTTTTTGCGATGCGGTTCACATCACGAGTCGTGATTTACGATATATTTGTGTGTGAAGTACTAAATGATAGATACAACGCTCTCACTCACACATTTCACCCATCACTGCCACATGTTCGCACGCTGCACGCCGTTGCTTGCCAGTGAGTTTGGCGTGCGCTGAGTTGCCCATCACTGCCTTAAATCCATTTTTATAGTACCCTCCTTATTTTACGTAGCAGCTTATATACATTTTATAGCGCTCGATAATCATGGAGTCGCGATAGATCAGCGTTTTTTTTTTTTTTTTTTTCAAGCGGTATCGATTATCTATTTATACAGAATGCGCGCGAGTTACGGTAACATAGTTTTATACGGGCGAACTCGAAATTATTGAATGGGAGTAGCAGTTACCCTAAATCGCCTCTTTAAATCACTCTGTAACAGTTTTTTCTCGAGAAAAAAGTTTTACGAAACGTTCCAACGGAATGGAACTTGGAAGAATTTTCATTCCGAGACATTCGACCTTAGATCGTCGGCGCAATCGTACAGCAACTACAAAGTCAATAGATGTAACAGTTTGATCGGTAGGTGTACGGTTCGATAAAGAACGTAAGGATTCGATTTCGTTGTTCTTGTCGGGACGACAGTTTCCGTCGCTCGAAATGAAGAAAGTTTTAATAAAAATTCGAAATGATACGTCCCGATGACAATTATCTGCCCGGTGAACTTCGAACTCTCGACGGCTTTCTCGGCGATATCTCATTATTTTTATAATAGCGGGATAGTAAAGAAATTTTATTCTTCGTTTTTCGAAAGTGCGCACGCGCCTCGTGTTTTATTTCGAACGGAACACGTCAAGTTTAACGATCGAAACTTCGCGTAGAAAGTTTCGAATGGTGAATTACGGTCGGAAGAACTGATATGCATGGTTGGTCCACGAATGATAGTTAAGTGGAACGGCCGCCATATTGTTATTCCGACAACTTCAGAACTGAAAGACGTGCCGCGGTTGTTAACGTTCCGCGGTAGTTTCTTTTTATTTCTATCTTTTATTTCTGTTTGTATCGTTTGTTACAGTTCTTGATAAAGGATTATGGTCGGCAACGTAACATAAATGTACTTACAGGTACATTACCGTGTAACAAATGCTCTTCCAGCTCAATTATGATACCTTTGACTAGACTCGACTGGCTTCGAACCAGCATCGTTTTAACCTTTGATTATTCTACGATTATAAAGTACATAATCACGGAAATAGCAGTTTCATTGGACTGTGAATACCTATGTGCCCTTGGGCATACTGCACGAGCTTAGGATCATCCCTTTCATGACTGCAATTTTCAAATACAGAGACCGATCAGTTACAATCATTGTTCAATGGCTTTATACTCCCACCTAGTCTTCGTAGTGTGAATAATCGTATGATCGATTCTTCACGTATCAAGTTACTGTTGCTAAGAAAAAACCGTGAAAGATAAGAAGCACATACACGTAGTAGAAAGTGTTATTTTAAAATCGATGCGATCGATATCGCCAGGTAGAGCAATTACTGAAGCAAATACAGTACCTTATGAAAGATAATAAATTGTAGTTGCACAATCAATTACTCAATATTCCTTTTTTGCAATGCATGTTACAATATATTTTTCATAAAAGCTCCTTTAACAACAGTAATAATAATGAAACATAAAAGTATTCATTAGAAAACAAGAGGAAAGGAAGATGAATCGTGACTGATCCGTAGCCAATCACATCCTACTAGACTTATTCTACTGGTCCGACTACATACAGAGCTCATTCTACTTGTCTGGCCACATAAGCGTCTTATTCTGCTTGTCCGGTCGCATACGTGCCTTATTCCACTTGTCGACCCACATACGTGCCTTTTATTTCATCACGTAGGATCTCAGTACAACAGATCTGGGTAAATATTAGTCTAAATTAGTTACATATTATACACAGATGTTCCTAAAAGTATTCGCCCACCGTCGGTATTAAGCGAATTTTCCGTGGAATTGTACGTAGGTTTATAAACAACAACCTATATCAAAACCTATTTCTAATGAATATTTACCGTTAAACAAACCAATAAATGTTCATTACAAATAATTTTGGATATAATTTTCTATTTGCAAACCTACTTACAATTCCACACAAAATTCTTCTAATGCCTAAAGTGACTACTTCTCTGACCAACTGCGCCTAATATACAACACCGTTTGAAATTACACCAAGTGAATGGAATGTTCTAAAAAAACGACCAACAACAAACAAGAGTGTATAACAGATGTGCAAGTTTATCGAAAACGAAACAATTCAATATTAAACCAGCCTTTAAAAATTTCTTCGATTCTTACTCCACCAGCGGATCCATCGATACAAGGGGGTCGACACGAAAATTCGAGGGGTTTGCGGTCCCAAAAATGCAACCCTTATATACGAAGTCCCGCGATTCGGTTCGTCGTGACAAGAGAAGCGAAGCTCGAAGTTTTATATTAAAATACTTGACCGTAAATTTCAGTCGCAAGCGGCTCGTAGGAATCGTAAAAAAAATATATAATAACAATTCTTACCCTGGGTTCCACCTTGGACGATGGCTCGTCCGAGCAGCCGCAGCAACCCATGCCCGACGACGGGTACGGTAATCCTTGCTGGCAGCCGGGAAACTTTTCCTCTCCTGTGCCTGGCTTCCTCCTCCGGAGACCCCGCTGTCACGGATGCGCCCGCTTCCGGGAATAAATTAAAACGGAAGTTCTTTAAAGCGCCCAGAGAAAATACACCGAGTCGGAGGGGGAGAAGGGGTGGCGAACGACACGCCGAGTTTTTGTATCGCGCTCGTCTCCGACCACCGATCTCCGGCCGGTTTCGGAGCTCGTTAAAACACACGGACGATCGTCGTCTGACGAGCCGGAACAGATGTTCTTTGCACCGATATCGCGGTGGTAAGACGATAAACGACGGTGAAGAGATCGTCGCGACTGGCGGAAAGGATTGATAACGGATACCTCGATAATGGTGGAAGTAGGGAAATGTGCTGTGGAGTGATTCTCGTGGTATTGGGTTGTCTGGAAAATTTGTAACGGTTTATGTACAACGTCCTTGTTATTATTTTTAATGGAGAAATGGATAATTGGTTGATACGATGAACACACACTGGCTTCGAAACACATTTCATATGTATCGCTATGGACAAAAAAGTTAACAATTTTCTGATTCCTTATATTATTTTTATTATTTGTTAACATCAGCTTGAAACCTTAATGTACTGAGTTTTATACAGCTTTTAATTCTCTGTTAGAATATATGTTAAATACATACTGAAGATTTAAGTTGATGTTAAAAAATAATGAAAACAAGATAAATGGGAAAAGTGGTAACGTATGTGTCCGCTACTATATGATTTAAATGTAGAATGTTTGTTTGCTTTTTTTTTCTGAGAAATACGGGTGAAATAATACGAGTCAGTGCACAGTGTAATTCACAGAAATGAATAATGTACATATACTGAAAAATGATTACAAATGGAATGTTTTGTTGTGTTTGAAAACCATTCATCATAGACCACATGAGATGTCTTTGCTCTCCTTATTAATTGGGCCTTAAGAAATGTAAAAAAGAGGTAACGTCCAATATTGAATAATTATTTCGATTTTTTTAACGTAAAATTATATTATAATTTTCACACACAACTATGATGTGAGTAGCTGAGAATGCCGTCAAGCACAGTGGATTAGGAAATGAAGAAGTTATTGAAATTCAATAACGTTGGTATATTTCTTTACCCTAATCAAGTTATTAATAAAGAAACATAAGCTGTTGTTTGGAAGTTAATCTCTAGAAATGTGTGTTTACGAACACACCCGTAATTGAATGGTAATTATTACATAGCAGGTGTTGTCTTTTATTAGGTTTATTTGATCGAACAAACTTACTTTTGGAACATAAATTATCGAGTAAAACAGAAGAGCCATTGGTGGTCGCTTTGTTACGAACTCGTCGTGCGAGAACAAACTCCATTAAAATAACAGTCGCTGAATATTACCTATTTATCACGGTTTATAGAGCGCAATATTAATAATTGCATTTCTATTAAGTGTACATTGAATTACGTTGTAATGAAGTTATTACCTAATATTATTATTAATCGGTGCATTGTGGATCGTTATGTGTCAATACCGATATTAATTTCTCGTATTAATTTTAAATATACAACACTTAAATGATTGTTTTATAAACAATGGTAATAATGCTGACTTTATTACGCCCTCATCGGGGAAGTCGTAATTGTACAATAAAATAATTACACCCACACAGGATCAAACAAGACAATGGTGGATGTAAAAGGATTAGAATAGTTGGTTGTTATGTAATTTCATTGTAATAAGCTTTATCCCACGAAGAATGTTCAGTCCAATTGAAGTCATGGGCTGTTAAAGACGCGACATCCTTGTTCTACATTATCCAAGTATCTCAAATGATATTTATTTCGTATAACAATGTAAAATTCAGTAGTATATTGGAGTTGAAAGAAGAAGATATAATATCTCGACGAAATTGATCCCCAAGAACAATTAACGCAGGAAGTAGGACTACCATACGGAATATTATTTGATAAATAAACTGAAGTATTATTGGATAATATTTGAACAAAAAAGAGAACCATGAGTTGATAGCAAACTGATAAATATGTTCCACGGAGAAACCAGAAACTTTATCAATTTTTGAAACGAACTATTTAACTCCTAAATATCTAATCACTCACGAAAGTCTTCGTACACCCTATAAAACGTCATTTGTTTATTAACACATGAGGTAATATTAACAATTTTATAACAAAATGTATTAGCTCCTAATTATATTTTAACAAATAAGAAAAAATCAATTACGCATCTGAGAAAAGTGACTTTCGTGAGTGACTGTATATTCTGTGTAATATCAAGACTGGAACAACACATCTTTTAATTGACAATTAACAATATCGATTTAACACCATCGACAAATTCGATGCCAGCCAACGAGTTCTTTTGTACATAGAATAAAAATATACCTTTCATTATTCCAAGTCTTCCAGTATATTACTCCCTAAAGTAGACGATAACAGTACCCACTGTAAAAATATTTCCCAAATTTAATAAATTTTTAAATTAATCTCGATTGCGCGAAATTGAATAAGCAAAAGAAGAACTACATTTTTTACTATTTCCACTTTGACGTCATTAATATTGCCCCAGACATCCTCTCTTTCTCTTCCTACCTCGACACGGGTCACGTCAGTCTCGATCGATTAATCGAATAAGCCTGCACGCCACGGCGAAATGACTGGTACGTAATGTCTCGGGGGTTGTTGCCTTTCCGCTTTCAACCAAGTCGAACATCGTCGGACAGTTCCAGCCCGGAAGTGTACATTTTAATATATTTCCGTCGAGAGACTGGCCCGGACCAGCGCGGACCGGACAGTCCGCTCGAAACTTCGTCCCTCGATTAATTATTGGGTTTGCGGTTATGAAACTACACGATGGTAATTGGAACGTTGGATCGGATGTTCTTTGTTCAACCAACAGTCGAAATTTTACCATAACTATTCGTCCCATTGAATGGTTACACTGAATTTACGCGAAAACCGAAACTGAATATTCCTTAAAATGGATTACATGAATTCTTTAATTGAACGTAATGGCTTAATACAATGTCGAGTACCTCTTTGAGCGGTTGGTGGACGAGAATAGAATATTTTATGAATTCCTGTCCTTTCCTCGTAAGTGTCTCAGCTTATAGTTCCTGTTCTTTTTACGTTAAATAATAAAAGAGTGGATTTTATTTAATAATGCAAGGTATTTTTCAGGGTTGGTGGGTGGGAGACGGGGGTGGAATAATTCATGAATTCCTGTTGCATCAACATAAGAACCGAGCTTGGTACTGCCGTTCTTATGTAAAATAAAACACTACAAATTTTACCTTCGGCCGTAAACCAGAGGAACCGTGAATAGCCTTAAGCTTCAAGCGTCCGTCATATTTTTCAAAATGAAACTTCACACACATACACAAAACACATTCGAACAATTCCGTTGAAAAGAAATCAACCAGCATTTCTTACAAATTGATCCACTTTTACGTAAAACGTCGAATATCTATGTAATACCATCTTCCATCGAACTTACGCGTATTTTTTCCCTCGCCTATACGTTTCATCGGGGCCAAAGGTTTTTTTTCGAAACTCCCGCGGTAAATTCGACGATCCAGTCCGTCGACGAGCCGGTGAGGACGAAATAAAAAAACGAGTAGGATCGAACGATAGCAGCCTCGTTAAGCTTCGATCGCGCGCGCGAAACGGTCGAGGATTCGAAATAGCAAAAAAAAGAAAAAAAAAAAAAGAACGGAGAAACAACAGGGGGAGGTTGGTGTGGGTGGAAGAGAAGCGGAAAAAAAGCTGTTTGCGCGACGAATTTCGTTGGAGTTGCTTTTTGGTCTGGCGGTGAAATCGGAGCGGCAACCAGCCGGAGCAGGAACAATGCAACTTATCGAGCGACACACATACCCGGTTATTGGTACGTCAGATAAGAGGCGGCCGAAAGAAAGAAAGAAAGAAAGGATCGGGCGAAAAGGGTCTGGAACACACGGCGAACAGGACGGCCGTGTCACCTGGAATTAAGCTGCGCAACGATCACCCGTGATCATAATACGTGTACACGCGAGCATCGCGGTCGGCGAGCCCCTCGCTTTTATTATCTCGATCGCTAAACTGCGGAGGGTAAATTAACAAAGTTCGGGCCTCGTTTTCGGCCCGGAAACGATCGTTCCTATTATGACACGCTTGTTACGGGAGAATTAACGTTGATCACGTGCCCCGATATGTAATTCCTTTACAGCGGTACACGAGTGTTTTTTTTTTCTTTCAATTCGTGCGATTTGAGATCGTATACGGGTGACGGTTTCGATGACGTACGCTGGGTTATTTATATTGGAAAAATCGTACTAACAAGTTCGTCGTATTAAGGAGTTCATGGTATTAACAAGTTCAGCGTATTAATATGTCACTCATACCAGGAAGTTAACAATATCAACAAGTTAATCGTATTAACATGTTAATCATGTCAAGAAGTTAATCATATTAACATGTTAATCATGTCAAAAAGTTAAGCATATTAACATGTTAATCATGTCAAGAAGTTAATCATACTAACAAGTTAACCATATCAAGAAGTTAATCGTACTAACAAGTAAGTCACATAAACAAGTTAACCATATTAACACGTTAATCATACTAACAAGTTAATCATACCAAGAAGTTAATCATACTAACAAGTAATTCCCATAAACAAGTTAATCATATTAACACGTTAATCATGTCAACAAGTTAATCATACTAACAAGTGAACCATATCAAGAAGTTAATCGTACTAACAAGTAAGTCACATAAACAAGTTAATCATATTACCACGTTAATCATGTCAACAAGTTAATCATATTACCACGTTAATCATGTCAACAAGTTAATCAAACTAACAAGTTAACCATATCAAGAAGTTAATGATACTAACAAGTAAGTCACATAAACAAGTAAATCATATTAACAAGTTACTCATACCAGGAAGTTAATAATACCAACAAGTTATTGATATCAACAAGTGATTCATATTAACAAGTTGCTTATATAAACCATGTTACTAATATTAACAAGTTAATATAATTGTTTAGGATGCTAT